AAACCGTTTATTAAAAAAATACCAATTATTTTGCATACATATTTACATACATACATAAATATATGTATATATATTTGTATAAATACATTTATATATGTATAATTTTAGAGTGGGTTCATTGACCAACTCGAGCCTGGCCCGGGCTCAAGCCCAACCCAAGTGCATCAAGTTACAAGGCGGGCTAGGCTTGGGATGGAAAAATTGGGCTTAACCTCGGGCTCAGGCCTTTAGCCCAAATTTTAGAGCTGGGCCTAGGTTGATCATAAACTTGAACCACCTTGCCCGACTTGCACCCCTAGTCAGAATTTACACTCAAATCATTTGCACTGCCATAGTTTTGCATCAATATAAATTTATTTGCATTGCAACTAAACACAGCCTAAAGGAAAAATCTATATATGCTGCTGGAAACACATGATACTGAAAGAGTTTTAACCAATCAAAAGGATCCATTGTGAATTTTGATACCACCTCATTGGTTAGAGCTTCTATGATACCGATTGATTGATTACAGGTTTAAAAGAGATAAAATAAAAGATGATGAGACGAAATGTGAACAACGTCTTTGATGAATGGGCATCCCTTTCCTTTCCTCCTAGCAACCCTTATCTTTTTATTTTATTTGTTTCTTGTTGGGTGGGGTAGAAATCAGTGTTTTAAAAACTGATATGGAGGTTGAACCATTTTTGTTTTTGGGTTGTGGGTTACAGATTCGACCAGTTGAGTTGAACAGATCAGACCATGCCACATATATATAGGCATACACACACACATGTATGTGTATAAGTATGTATAAACATATATTTTATCAATAAATAATGTATAATTATGTTTTACATGTAATATATGAAATATTTTATATTTAATTTATGTTAATTTAGTTTTAAATTTTGTATATATAAAAAAAATAAAAAATTATAATTTGAGGCCAAAAAGGTTTTTTTAAATAATGGGGCAAGGCACTTATGACGCCTTGGTGCATAGATGTTGAAAAGTTACCCAAAATAAAAAAAAAATCACTTCAATCGGGCATTGGAGTGCAAAGTAATGACCCCCCTGAAGTTTGCATACATAGTTCGTATAAAACCCGCGACCCAATCACCAAGTTGAATTGTTCAAACGGTCCAACCATCCGGGTCAAACGATTTTTTGGCCTTCTCTAAGTTTTCTCAAACCAAATCCAAAATCTTGACTGAATAACGGTTTGAATGATTCAACCGACTTGGATCAACGATGGATTAAAAAGAGGTAGAAATCAATTCTATCTCCTCTAAGGCTAGAAAAGTTGTGAAACATATACTTTAAAGGCTACTTTGCCTGATAAAACCATATTAAGTGAGACTGGGTAACAGATTATTATATAACTAGGTTGATACAGGAAATCCAGTTTAGATCAGCCCCAGTAAACTTGTTTCCAAGGTTTACTAAGGTTCCATGGAGCCCCTTGTAGAAATTGAGATTTGCTCAGTGCCTCAGTGGGGTTCATTAAATCTTGAGTTTGGAGTCATATGAATTGAAGCCTATATCTACAACTGAACTGAATGTCTGAAACACATAGTATATGCCTTATGAGATAATGACTTGTTGCGCTGCCTCAAAAGTTCATGCTGAGAGTTGGAAAGAGAGAGGATAAGAAGTAACAAATGTCTCAGCATCCATAGGTTAAGTCGCAGATTAATAGATTTGTCACAATCTTTACATGAATCACTATAGAGATCAAGAGGAAAAGGTTCACAAATCACCATTCGTCTTTTTAGTTTTTACTGAAAAATGAAAAACTGAAAGCTAGAAGTGATCAACCTTTATCAAAATCAAAGGGTTGGTCTGGGATTTCTTCCTTCTCTCTCTCACCGACAAAACAAAACAGAGCAAAGAATCAGTACGAAAACTAACAAAAATTGACAATTTGACAATCAACCTAACACTGATGTTTTGTACTCAAACCACACTCTATATTATATAATAAACACTAACAACTTTGCCTCATCAAAGGAAAATCTCCAGGAAACTAACAAGACACAGGCAGAAGAAATATAAAAATGGCCCTGCCCCTCTACATTTCTACTTACAACTCCACAGAACTGCCCTCACTCACCTCTCAATTTCTTCCTTGTTCAACAGGGGTAATCGGGTCGGGTTTGAGTTGGGTCAAGGCATTTTCAAGTCGGGTCAATTTCCAGGTTGGGTTGGCAAAGGTTATACCTAACCCTAAATATTTAGGTTAGGATTGATGCACAGGTCAGACGGATCAATGGTTCAGCCACACGGTCAATTGGTCTTTAATGTTTTTTTATCAAAAGATAAGGATTTTCCTGTCCAGCGTGGTTTGAATGGTTTTAGCCATTTGGGTTAACGACGGTTTAAAAGTAGGTGGCCCGGGGCCGGGGGCAGCTTGTGGCCGGACCCTCCTTCTAGTTCGGGTAACTTGGTCAGGGACCCTAATCTGCTTTTCAGGTCGGATCGGGTCGTTTCACGGATTGGATCAAACTTTTTGTCAGGTTTGCTGGCATGCGATATATGATAATAAAGGTATGAGTACGATATGGGTATTATAAAGATTCCAATCAGACGTCGTATAAAGTTGCCCTAGTGTGACTGTGTGAGGCCAAGGGACTCTGATTGATTCTTCTTTTCTTCTTCTGAAATGTTACTGGCCTACTGCCACTGGTCTGGTGCACGATAGGTGTTAGATGGTGTATAAAGGAAAACAGTAAGGGGCATTTACGTCATTTCAAAATGGATATTATTTCAAATCGGACGAAGGGAAACGTGACTGCGTGAAGAAATTCCAAATTCGACTCCACCGACATGTACTCAAGCTGTGAACCTCCTGCTCCTCCTGCCTGCTGCCCAGCTGATGGAGAGATTACCGACGATCGCCGGTTATTAACCGGGGAGGTTGGAGACAGGCTGTTAACAGCAGTTGGGAGTGTCGCGGGGAGAAAAGACCAGCTGCTGTTGACTGAAAACGTTATGTTAAATCTTAAATGATTGCTTATCTTAGTCAGCCATGGGTATTTCTGACTTTTGACTATATTAGGCATTATTTTAATATTTTATTAGTAAAAATTTATTCATAAATTATCATTTAATTTGTAAACAGAAATAATCGAAGGTTGCTTCATGGCTGATTGGCTTAATGGCTTCGGTTCAAGCTAACAACATCAGGGTCAGGGGTTTGTATGCTGGAGCCTCCAGGCTCCAGGCCCACTGCTGTTAAAACCTATCCCGGCCGTAAATGCTACCTCTTTTGTCTGAATTCGAACGGGTTAATTGCTTATCCAACTTCGTTCCGTTCTTTATATTAAATAGATACGGCAACGGGGCGATTTGGGAAGACTTTTGTAAATTTTAGATCATACCTTTCTTTTAATCCTATTTGTTCTAGATTCTGAGAATTCAATTTTTTTATATGAAAATGTAAAATTCTTCCTGACCCTATTTTTCCTGCATGTAAGTGTAGAGATGGATTGGTTTAGAAGTCGTATCTAATTTTAGTAATAAATAAAATAATATAAATAAATAATAAAAATTTTAATTATTTGATTAAGACATGTAAAAAACACATAAACTATCAATTATCATTTACGTAAAACACAAAATATTTTTAAATTTAACACTTACCCGTATTCGTATGGGTTGTAGAATCGCAACCTGCCCCAGCCCCAAAACCCCCTTCAAACAAAAAAAGCCGCCCCATCAGGGCAGATAGTCCGGTACCCACCCAGTAGGATAGAAATTGCCATCCCTATTTATATCAATGTTTTAAAGACCGATTTAAAAGTAGAACTGCTTTGGCTATTAGTTTTTAGGTCAACAATTTGATCGACCAGTTGACTGTATGGGTCGATAATAATTTGAAAACCATGGTAAGATCCAATATGAATCCACTCCTATCCAAACCGGTTGATTGGTTACAAGTTTTCAGCTGGTAGCATCTCTAACCTGTTGCAACAGAGACCTGTGGTCAGGTCCCTTTATTTTTTCCTCATGGTCGTACTCTTGATATAAACTCTGTTAGTGTGGGCTTGTTTTGTGTCATTAGTATTAATCGTGATAAGGGAGGAAGATTGTGTTAGATTGGCAGCATATAGCACTAAACAAAACAGATTGGTGAGACAGAAAATTTATTAGTAAAGTTGGCTTGGGTGTTGCGTTTTTATATTGTGTGTCGGTGATTTTAAATTTAATTTATTAATTCTATTTAATTAAAAAAAGAATTGCAATCTCAAATCCAATATAAACCCGATGGATTAACAGTCAATTAAATCTGTTTTGCAACCTCAGGATTAGTTCACGCCATCTAATATAGTATAAATATAATATAAAACATATACACAAGTATACATTTAATCTATAAAATAATATATTGCAAGTCCTGGCTGGACCAGACCTAATGTGGGTTTAAATAGGGTCGGGCCTGAACATGAAAACCTAGGGTTGGACCACGCTGAAAACGATAACCCTAACACCTATGATAAGAGACTTGGACCTCAGAATTGAAATGTAAGTCTGGGCTTTCAACCCAAAAACAGCCCGCCTGGGCCTAGGGCCCTAGGCCTATAACCTTAATTATAAAATATTAAATAATAAACTTTTATATTGTATAATATGAATAAATGTATGATATTGGAAAAATATGATACATTAATAATTTAATAATGGCTCAAACCTCCTAAGAATTTAATGAAAACTACCTGATTTATAAGTATTTTTTCCGTATCAAGTATCATAGAAGAACCCGTTTTGAATCTGGGTATATTTTTGATCCGTTTACGTAGTAGGCCCAGATCCCGCTAATAGGCGCTGGTCGGTGCCGTGTATTGTCGGTATCTGGGTCAAAATTATACTTGAGTAGTTGAGTAACAAGCCAGTTAGCCAGATGAGAAGTTAGAGCCCAGGAGAGCCGAGCCGTTATGCTGAACATTATGTGGGAAACTGATTACTGGTTAGCCCGGTAGCCGGTAATGACCTAAATCAGAATCTCAGAAAATAAAAAGGAAAAATTCGAGCTGAGACAGAGCGGAAGCGAGATTGATGGGCGAAGAAGCAGACAGGAGTGTTTGAGAGCCCATCGCTTTTCTTTTCCTGCTCAGACTGAGAGCCATCTGAGTGGAAGATCCATCACTCGATCCTTAGCTGGAAATTTCTTCTTTCGATCTCCAAAATGTATACATGATAGAGGCCATAACTAAGGGAAAATAAAAGCTTCATTACATTTCCGCTCTTCCCATTTCTTTTTCTCTGTTTGGAACCATGGAAGCAAATGCAGGAATGGTTGCTGGTTCTCACAAACGAAACGAGTTCGTTATGATTCGGAAGGAAGGAGAAGCTGGGGTATGTTTCTTCTCCCGACCCATTTTCTCTTTGAATTCAAGATCCCCCTTCCCCCGTTTTTTTCCCCTTTGCTTCTCGTTTTCTACGTGATTGGGTATCTGGATCTGCTTGTTGACTCCGTGGTAATGAATTCTGGTTTTTCATCATGGAATTCGATAATGGATATTCATTGGACTAATTGGATTGAGACATCGACTATGTGGGTTGTCGCGGAATCGAATCTTTTAGAATTTTAATAGCTGAGATCTTGTTGGACTTGTAGAGTGTGTTTGATTTGCCTAGTTTGGGTTTTTTGTTTCTTTCTATCTTTCTTTTTCTGTAAATGTGGTTGTATTAAAGCTGACATTTTGACAGTCATGCCTACTGAAGCTTACTGTTTTCCCCTTCCAGTTCAGATCCGTTTGGAGTGTTGGGGGTGTATCACTTCTTTTCTTTTTTCCTTGTAGTCTGTCAAGGCTCGAATTTAACCCTTAGGTGGACTTGGATATGGTTTATGAGTTTTTAAGCCGAGATCTGACTTCACTTTTGAGACAGACTTGGATTTTATGATTGGGATTAATAGTTACATCTTACATGGTGAAATTCATGGTTATGATGTTTTCATTAAGTGATATCAGCCCATGTTTTGGTGGTTGTATATTCAGTTGTTGGGAATTGAAGCATGTCCTTCTCTTTCTTTTCACAATCTATATTTGTAGTTTTCCTGTTGAAGTTGTTTTTCTTTTTTTATTTCAGTGTATTTGATAGTCTACTGGGAGGTTTCTGTTGATGTTATCGCCAAATTTGGCTCTAGCAGTCTTTGGTTGAGCATTTTAACCTCAATACGTCAAGTTTAGTATAGTTTTTGCAAGTTTCCTTTTTTCTTTTTTTCGTGGTTATTGATTCCATGGCAGTCAGTAGCATACTAGCATGATCAAATTGGCTATGGGGTATTTTAGTTTCATCGAATTGTTCATCACAATCCTGAGGCATGGACAATTGCAGTTGTGTATCCCCATCCGCACAGAACAGAGTAATCATTAGAAAAGTGAATATTAATTTGCTCTGCTTAAAACTATTTGGTGACTTTGTGCTTTCCTTTGAAATATTCCTGTACTATAATGAATTCCTCTAGAGGTTCTCAATTGTTCCTTTCTGTGGATAACGCAGCCCAAGCCCCTCAAGCATTTGAATGGCCAAATTTGTCAGATCTGTGGAGACACTGTTGGGGTTACTGCCACAGGTGATGTTTTTGTTGCTTGCAATGAATGTGCCTTCCCAGTTTGCCGGCCTTGTTATGAGTATGAGCGCAGAGATGGAAACCAGTCTTGTCCCCAGTGCAAGACTAGGTACAAAAGACACAAAGGTTAGATTATTGGTTCATACCAGATTTTTGATCTTTTATAGTTTTATTCTAAAGCAATGCCTTCTTGAAGCTTTTAGTGGCTAATGTGGTACAAAACTTCATTGGGTTAGATTTCTTAGGATTAAGGTAATGAGGTGTGCATATTCCAGGGAGTCCTCGAGTGGAGGGGGATGATGAAGAGGATGATATTGATGACCTGGATAATGAGTTCAATTACACCCATGGAAATGGCAAGGGAATGAGGCAGTGGCAGGGAGATGATGTTGAGCTTTCTTCTTCCTCTAGGCATGAGTCTCTACGCTCAATTCCACTTCTCACCAATGGGCAACCGGTATGTTAAAAAGGAAATGCTTACCTTACCTGTCTTGGTTCTAACCCCCATATCAAACTTGATACGTAACTTCTGTAAACTCTGACTTTTGGATTTAGGAAATGGTACTTTCTTGAGTGCATAGTTGTCAAGGTGACACCTAGGCGACAAGGCGCCCTTTGAGGCTCGCCTCGCCTAATCGCCAAGCAGTTTTCTACTTCATACTATAAAATACTTTTTTATTCATTCTTTTTTGATATTATAATTATAAAATAGACATTATTAAACTAAAATAATCATTTTGTGTGTTTATATACTAATTTCTTTTTATTATTTTCTTATTTATTAGGGTTTAATCAACACAAACATTGCTAAATGCTGTATTGAACCCTCAAAGACTTAAACCTGAACCAATAAGTAAGGATGAACTTAAAATTTTATCTAATCAGCACATTTTCCTCTTCCATATATTCTTCTTCTTCTTCTTCTACTACTACTACTACTACTACCAATACTTAAAATTTTTTGAATTTTATTTTCCTTCTTCCTTTTCTTCTCATGAATATGTTGATTTTCTATACTTTAATATGAAATTTATATTTTTTTTATGAAAATCATGAATAATTATTAAAGAAATATGGTTATGGTACCTAGGGAACTATCCTAGGATCTATGTTTTTAACATAAAAAATCCATTGCCTAGGTGACAAGGCGCCCCCAGTTGCCTAGCCTCGCCTTGGCGCCTTGAAAACTATGCTTGAGTGGATTGTCAGCCATGGTTTCTAGTGCCATTTTTTTTCTGCCTTTTTATTTGTTTAGTATTGCAGCTTTCACCAAATTTAGATTTGCTTGTGTAAAATTTTTGCATCCAGGTTCCAGCTATGTTCTGAATTGTGGTTTGCAATTGATATGTATGTACCCTCCTATTCATGTCTTTCAACATTGGCCATTCTTAACCATCGTAAATTCATTTTGCTTTCCTTTTTATTATATTTCTCCACCAGAGAGCTGGTGGTAGGTACAAGAATAGTACTTTCTTTTTCATTTCAAAGTTGATTGCATTAAAGGTGAAAGAACCTTGTGATGTATGTGGATTCCAAATCAATTTAAAAATTTGTTTGTTGGCCCAAAAGTTGCAAGCAAAATTAATCAACAATGTTGTTTATTATGTAAGCAACTGTCATTTGGTTTTTGAGAATGGTAATTCTTTTGGAATTGGATTTTAGACAAGGGTTCTTAATTTTGGCTAACTCAGTTAGCACTTCAAGATCTAAGGCAAAAAATGAGCTTTTGTGTTTTTTGGATGTCGATGATCCAACAACCAAGAATAGGCATAATTTGTTTTTTTTTTTGTTTGCTCCATATTTCTTTTGATGATTATTTTGTTTTCTTTAAGATGGTAAGGGAACCTTCTATTACTTGTTAACTTGTCAGGTCTGTCAATGGACTTTCTGGCTCCTTAAAAAGGGCATGAATAGCAAAAGAACAACTAGAATGGGCAATGACAGGCCCTGGGATGAATGCACAGTTGTTGTTTTCCATTTTAAAAGAATTAATATGTAATCTTTTGGACTGTTTATCCATATGTAGTCTTCTCTTTTCAAAATCTTTGGAAAGTAGGGGGTTTTCCTTAAATTAATGGAATCTGATTACAGTTACTGGTAAAAAAACTGTGAGATCCTCCACAGTTCTTGTTTTCCTTTTAATTTATAAATTTGTAAGCATCTGTGCTGAATGTCCATAACCTGCAATTTATCTGTTCCTTCACTGTAAATTTTCTAGTAAACCATGGGCAAATGTACAATGGATTTTTTGGTGTGAAAGGATGCTTTCTTGCTTCTATTGAAGCTTTCTTCCTTGGTGGCATCTAAGATGCTTGGGAAAAAAAGTAGAACAGTTTGGAGCATGATATCTTTTGCAAATTTTTTGGTCCATTTGGTGTGAAAGATGGTTGGCAAAAAGGTGCATGGCATGTTATGTTCATGGAAGGCAATTCATTGAACATTTCAGAGGAACACGTTACAACTCTTTTGTTGATGACAGAAAGCTTATTTGTAACTAATTTAGGCTGCTTTTGCTTTTGAGGTTTGGGCTTTGAAAACCAAAATTGAGCCAAAAAGTGTTATGAGTGTTTGGCAAGAGTTGCTTTTAAAAACATTATAACTTGAAGCCAAAACAATTTTAAACTCTGAAGCAAAAAAAAGCCTGAAATTGGGGCATTGTGCTTTTGGTCTATGGAAGCACAAATCCTGAAGCTTATCAAAGTGCAACCTAAGCTGTTCTATTATTAACTTATTATCATTTTTCTATGTTTTCAGTACAAAATACCTTTTTGTACATAGGTGCTGATGTATTCATCTTGATATTTGTACATCAATACAACACTTCACCTTTCAAAAAACAAAAAAATGTAGCAAAAACTAAATGATTAAGGGTATACAATTCCTCCATTTTCATGCAGGGGAGCTGATATGTATGATTAACTTACGGAAGTAGAAATGTTTGTTTTAATTCCTCTGACCCTCACTGATGACCCAGCAGTTAAGATGGTCACTCAACATCCCTGCAAAAATGGAGGTGTGGGGTCAAACCCTTGGAACTTCAGGCTCTCCGTGTCATGGCCAGTGGGCCTCATGTGCACCCTGCTCTGTCCCATCCCTGTGTACCCTGTAATGTGTATTATGTGATAGCAACAAAAAAAAAAAAGAAAAAATATCTCCTCTGATTGTTAAACCATATATTTCACACATTTGCAGGTCTCTGGGGAAATGCCCAATGCTACACCTGACAACCAGTCTGTGCGAACTACAACGTCAGGACATCTAGGATCTGGTGAAAAGCGTGTCCATTCGCTCCCTTATGTCGATCCAACTCAGCCAGGTACTGTAGTATCCATTTGTTCTAAACTTCTAATGCATAAGCACTCAGGTTCCATATGTTTTTGTTATTCCTCTTTGAACCAATTATTGCTTATGTTTTCCATGATATGGTAACAGTTCCAGTTAGGATTGTGGACCCTTCAAAGGATTTGAATTCTTATGGGCTTGGGAATGTTGACTGGAAGGAAAGAGTTGAAGGTTGGAAACTCAAACAGGAGAAGAATATGAATCAGATTCCCAGCAGATACACTGAAGGAAAGGGAGACATGGAAGGAACTGGTTCAAATGGGGAAGATCTGCAAATGTAAGCACCAACTTGCAAAGGATATAGATTGCTTCCCTTGAAAGGAATATTCTAAAATTTGGTAGTTGACTGATTAACTCGTCAAATGTTAAATAATAGCTAATATGTTTACTTCCTTCATTTCAGTGCTGATGATGCTCGCCAACCCTTGCACCGAGTGGTGCCTATTTCTTCTTCCCATCTTACTCCCTATCGTGTTGTGATCATACTCCGCCTTATCATCTTGGGGTTCTTCTTGCAATACCGTATTACCCATCCTGTGAATGATGCTTATCCATTATGGCTTACATCAGTTATTTGTGAGATCTGGTTTGCTTTGTCTTGGCTTTTGGATCAGTTCCCAAAATGGTATCCTGTTGAACGTGAAACATACCTTGATCGGCTTGCACTGAGGTTTGTTAAACTTGAACTCCTTTTTCCTTTCATTCTAAATTTGTCTTTTTATTGGGAGGATAGAAGTTTCAGTAAAATGATATAAAAAAGGTAATGGAAGATGAATGGGGAAGAAAGGAAAAGCTTTGATTCTGTTCTATTTCTCATGTACGGTTTCTGGGCTAAAATTTTGTTAAATATGGATTGAAATCTACAGGTATGATCGAGAAGGGGAACCTTCACAGCTTCCTCCCATAGATATCTTTGTTAGTACGGTGGACCCTCTCAAAGAGCCCCCTCTTGTAACAGCAAACACTGTGTTGTCCATACTTGCTGTGGATTATCCTGTCGACAAGGTCTCATGTTATGTTTCAGATGATGGGTCTGCAATGTTGACTTTTGAAGCTCTCTCTGAGACATCGGAGTTTGCAAGAAAGTGGGTGCCCTTCTGTAAGAAGCACAATATTGAGCCCAGGGCACCTGAATTCTACTTTGCCCAGAAGATAGATTACTTGAAGGACAAAATTCAGCCTTCTTTTGTGAAAGAACGCAGGGCAATGAAGGTAAATGAGCATAGAAGACATACTCATTCACACACAAACCCATATATTTGATATTGGACCTTAGGCCCCTAAGTTTATATGAACCCTATGCCCCACTCTGCATATGCATGATGCCACCTAATTGTGCTATTTAGTATTTGGTGGTTATCTACAATGGTCATTATCATAAACTTAGGCCAGATGGATAATATAACCCTTCCATTATAGAATTAGAGTTGGATAGCTTAATAAAAAACAATATTTGCAGTTGGGTGAAAAGAACAAGATTTGGTTTTTGGTTTATAAATATGTTGACTCTTTGGTTATGCTTACATCCAGCTAAGAATGTTGACTTTTGAGTTTACATTGTACAATATAATAAATATAGGTGTGATCATAGATGATGGATCAAGGTTAAGATGCTCAGTATATATACTTCACTCTTTGCCCTTTTATCATATAACAACGGGAAGATACATATTAGAAGGCCCATAGTTTAACATTGGATATAACACTTAACAGAGTGTAATGGCAAAACAGGATTCATGTAGCTGAGCCCATATAGTTGGGACAAGGCATAGTAGTGATGATAGGATGGAACTCTTATCTTGCATTGCCTTGGATTGATGTGGGAAATAATATGTTTCACAGAGGGAGTATGAAGAGTACAAGGTACGAATCAATGCCCTTGTTGCAAAAGCACAGAAAATGCCTGAAGAAGGTTGGACAATGCAGGATGGCACTCCTTGGCCTGGAAATAACCCTAGGGATCATCCTGGCATGATTCAGGTAATTTTGCACTTTCTAGGGAGCATTTGCTGTTACTCATCTCTTGATTTATCTCTATCAATACAAAATCCCTTGGTTTTTGTTTTCTTAGCATTTTCTTCTGTGAAAGTGCAGGTATTCTTAGGTCACAGCGGAGGTCTTGATACTGATGGAAATGAGCTACCTCGACTTGTTTATGTTTCCCGTGAGAAGCGACCAGGATTCCAACATCACAAAAAAGCTGGAGCAATGAATGCTTTGGTTTGTGACCACTATATCTTTTCTTTGTACATCTGCACTGTTTGTTACAAACACATCTATGCTAGTTGAATTATTCTGTATTTCTAGCCTTTCTGTCATTCATAATGATGTTCAAAAAAGTCCACGTTATCTTTCAAAGGTTCAATTGATTGAATAGTGCTGATTCATAATGCATGCACTGATTGCTGGATGCAGATGCTAGTCATATTATAAATTCTTTATTTTACCTATTCATGATGCGGTTTGTTGTGTGTTGTCCAGATTCGAGTATCAGCTGTCCTGACCAATGGTGCCTATCTTCTTAATGTTGATTGTGATCACTATTTTAATAACAGCAAGGCTCTTCGAGAAGCCATGTGCTTTATGATGGATCCTGTACTTGGAAAGAAAACCTGTTATGTTCAGTTCCCACAGCGATTTGATGGGATTGATTTGCATGATCGATATGCCAACCGCAATATTGTCTTCTTCGATGTATGACTATATCTTGCATCGTCAACCAAAAGAAAACATATCTCCATTTAATTGCAATTATGCATTTCTTTGAAAGACTAGGTTCTTAATTATTCTGTAATTTGCAGATCAACTTGAAAGGTTTGGATGGCGTCCAGGGCCCAGTCTATGTGGGGACAGGATGTTGTTTCAATAGGCAAGCTCTCTATGGGTATGATCCTGTCTTGACTGAGGTTGACTTGGAACCTAACATTATTGTCAAGAGTTGTTGTGGTTCAAGAAAGAAAAAAGGTGTGAACAAGAAGTATATTGATAAGAAGCGGGCAGCTAAAAGAACTGAGTCAACCATTCCCATTTTCAATATGGAAGATATTGAAGAGGGTATAGAAGGTGAGCTTTATTGTTCAAGTTAGGGGACTTTTTATGTTCCTACCCATCAACTGGCTTAGATTTCACCTTTCACGCGACCTGTGACTTACATACACTTGCACACTTAGACATAGATCCTTTTAAAATGTGCATCTGTATTGAGTTCATTCATCCATCCAGTCTAACATGTTAATTGCATTAATGTTCTCCAGGATATGATGATGAAAAATCGCTTCTTATGTCTCAGAAGGCCTTAGAAAAGCGGTTTGGACAGTCCCCAGTTTTTATTGCATCCACTTTCATGGAACAGGGAGGTATTCCACCATCAACCAATCCTGCAACTTTGCTAAAAGAAGCTATCCATGTGATTAGCTGTGGTTATGAGGACAAATCTGAATGGGGCAAAGAGGTGAGCTGGAACTTAAACATATCCGTCTTCATGGGATTTGTCTTGCTAACCCAACTTGACTGAGTTATTTCTTTTCCTGCAATCAGATTGGGTGGATCTATGGCTCTGTTACTGAAGATATCTTAACTGGGTTTAAGATGCATGCTCGAGGATGGGTTTCAATTTATTGCATGCCACCGCGCCCAGCATTCAAGGGGTCTGCCCCCATCAATCTTTCTGATCGTCTGAATCAAGTTCTTAGGTGGGCCTTGGGATCAATTGAAATCCTGCTGAGCAGGCATTGCCCTATATGGTATGGTTATAATGGGAGACTGAAGTTGTTGGAGAGACTGGCATACATAAACACTATTGTTTATCCTATCACCTCCATTCCACTGATTGCCTACTGTGTACTTCCAGCAATCTGCCTTCTTACAAATAAATTTATTATTCCTGAGGTAAGCAGCAATTCATCTAATTCCTTTTTATTCACCTTTATCACTTAATGCATTTCCAGACATTCCACCCGTCTTCTGTTTTTTGCCAATTCAGACCTGTTCATAAAGTAGGAGTCCCACTTGTTTGGCCATGTGTTCAATAACATGGTCCATTTCAGTCCTATAAGTATAACCAACCTTGTATTGGAGTTCTTCTCAATTGAGGACTCCTTTTCAGCTCCAGACAAAGTTGCTGCCTTGAAGATTCCTAAGTCATTTAGGGAATCTTGCTTAATGACCCGACTAGCTCCAGTGGGTTTCCTAATCTGGTTATTTAGTACAGCAAGCTGAAAAAACAAAGAATCTTTCATGTGGAAAAGTGGTTTGGGGCCCAAAATGTTTCCATACATTTTTCCCACTATCCTTAATCCTCTATAAATGGGGCAGTGTCCATAAACCCTTGCCAGGTGATTAGGATAAACCCTTTTTTTGCCAAGTATAATATCAAATTGAAACATAAAAGGTGGGGTATAGGGCTGATGTTGACCAGGGATTGAACAGGCAACCAATCCAGGTCTCCTATTTGGTGGACAGAGCACATATTGCCCAAATCATCCCTCTACATGGCAGAATTATGGCAGATCATGCAGGGAAGCTCCCTACGTGACCTGATTGGAGAACTTTCGTCATATTCAAGGTGATCCCTAGGTAGTTCCAGAATCCTGTTGCTTACAGTGTGATTATAAGCAAACAGTAGACCCAATTCAATTTTGCAGTTTCAATTGTCTATCCTCTAACCAGATTGGTAACCTAATGGTTTTTATTTTGGATAAGGATAATCTACTGACTTGCCTCCATGGTTTTAATGAACCAAATTTCTATTATGTCATTACACCAAAGTCCAAAACAAGATGAAAAGACCAGCTTTTTGGTATCTTAGTGGGTAAAAGAATAAAACACATTTTTTAAATGTTTTATGAACCCATATAGTTTCCACTGAAAGATGATAAATTTGGAAAGTTTGAATGGAAATTTTAACTATGTTAGTTAAACATACTTTATATATTAGTTTACTGTGTGAATGTGTTCAGCCATTGGCTACTTTGCTCCATCCAGCTCTCCCATGGCCATCGGAGAGTAGTGGTACACTTTTCATATCTAATTCAATGAATTCTCTGTCATTGATAGAAAAACTTAAATTTTTTTTTCAGTAGCAAAAATAATTTGAAGACAATAGTAATGGTTTGAACCAAATCTCAAAAAAGATATCTCTAATATGTATATGTTTAAAATATCTATAAGATAAAAGAGAAGCTCACTTTCCTTGTTAAAATTTCCAAAATCATATGCCAAAATTCTGAAACTTTGCCCAAAATAAATTGGAAAAGTTTTTCTTGCAGAGATTTTTGAATTGAATACCAAAATCTTGTCTGCAATTCTGAAATTTTGGCTGAAATATTTTATGTTGTAATTCAGAAAAAATTGTTTATTTTACTATTGTAGGCACACATTATTCTGTTTGCTTCTATCCATGTGTGTGGAGATAAGGAGGCTAAATATTGGTGGGCCAGGTTACTCTTTGGTGGTTTATACTAATTTTTATGTGGCATTTTCCTTTTTTGGCCTATGATTAAACGATGCTGTCAAATATGCATGGTTTGTAATGTTGATGCTTGCATTGCCAGATTTCTTTAGCTTTAAATATTCAATTTCTTTTATGTCATCACTTTAGCTCTTCTTTAGGTTTAAATAGTTAGCTTAGTTTTTGGCCATGCACAAAAAGCTGCTATGCATATACCCCTTCTATGGCTTAGTCTATCTTGGGTCATGCCACACTGGTTGGGTTATTTAATGAAGTCTAGTTGTCATTTCTTGTATTCATGAGGCAATGTTTAAAAGCTAAAACCCTTACCATATGTCAAAAATAGGTTGTTTTTTCAGCACATTTTTTTTTTGAAATTAAAAGATTCAGACCTTGGAGTGCTCATAGAGGAAAATTGTCGTCATTCCTCAGGGCACCTATTCAATGGGCTTTGGATCTGTCATAGGATTCTTTGTGGCAGGAATTGTTGGGTTGTCTAGCAAGCTTCTCTTATTTACCTGATTATTATTAAAATTATGTGCTCATGACATTGATAACAGATGGGATGTTTAAACTCACTGTTCCGTATATAACAAGGATTTGTGTTTTCGTTTTGCTTGGAGTTCTTCAGACATCTTTTTTAATTGCTAATTTATTTATTGACCTTTTATGTACATTTGAAAGTTTGGATATGCATATGCTATAATGTGTTTATGTTGCAAGTCTTGTGATAGATGTTTGGCTATGCATGCATGGATTTGTCAAGTTATGCAATATTTTTGTCTTCGATTTTGCCAAGGGACTTATTTGAGCACATCATATTTTTATTAAATTGAGTAAATTCCTGGAAAAAGACAGAAACTCCTCTTTATAATGAGAAAAATTGACATGTGAGGGTGTTCTTGCCTTTCAAAATATATCTTTTGAGTACTGCATGTGTATGTGATAGATACACATCGTGGTCATATCACTATTGCTTGTAACTTCATGGGTATTACATGCCCTACAGTTTCTCTGCAAGAGCTACAGTTATTTCAGAGGAACCATTTAAAGTTGTAAACCCCAGTGCAACACTCTCATTTCTTTTGTTGCATGTAGACTTGTTATCATATGTAACCTATTCTCTTCCTTGGTAAAAAATGGAACTTATTGGATCTGTCATAATAATTAATGCAGATAAGCAACCTCGCTAGCATGTGGTTTATTCTGCTCTTTATTTCTATCTTTTCAACTGGAATTCTGGAGCTCAGATGGAGTGGGGTTGGGATTGAGGACTGGTGGAGAAACGAACAATTCTGGGTCATTGGTGGTACATCTGCACACCTTTTTGCTGTCTTCCAAGGGTTGTTAAAGGTTCTTGCTGGAATTGATACCAACTTCACTGTCACATCCAAAGCATCTGATGATGATGGGGAGTTCGCGGAGCTGTATGTTTTCAAGTGGACATCACTTCTGATACCACCAACAACTGTCCTTATCATAAACTTTGTGGGCATTGTTGCAGGTGTCTCATATGCCATAAACAGTGGGTACCAGTCCTGGGGTCCCCTTTTTGGCAAGTTATTCTTTGCCATATGGGTTATTCTCCATCTCTACCCATTCCTCAAGGGTTTGTTGGGTCGGCAAAACCGTACACCCACAATCGTCATTGTTTGGTCCATTCTCCTGGCTTCCATCTTCTCCTTGCTTTGGGTGCGTATTGATCCCTTCACCTCCGATGCTACAAAAGCTGCTGCGAAAGGTCAATGTGGCATCAACTGTTAGTTTCCTTTGAAATCAATGTCTGAGGTAACTCCTTTGATCTCCCTTCCGCCCGCTTTTGTGTAAATATCAAGACATTAGACCAGCATGTGAGAATGTGAGTTAATTTATGTAGTAGTTTCCATCTGAAGGGGGGAAATTCAGGGTTGAATGAGAGATAGCCTTTTGCTCATGCTATGTTTTCACGTGGGTCCTATAAGGAAGGTTAAGCAGGGCATCATCAAAGTCGAATATGATTTCGTATATTTTTTTTTTGTTGTGCAGTATTTTGATTATTGTACTTGTCATTTGTCAAGAACACATCAATTCATGGCTGTGATCTCTTCATAAACAAATCCGGATGTATTGCAAAAGATCCAAGAGACTGTAGAATAAAATTTGTGTGGTTATTTTGTCATGAAACTCGAGGCCCTTTTTAATATGTGATCAGAAAAATGTTCCACAGAGGTTTGCATGTCATGTTACTTGCAATAATATGCAAGTGGCTTAAGAAATCTCAACAGTTAATTCTATGGAATCTTTTCTTAGGTTCTATAGAACGATGAGCAATTCAGGGAAAAAAGAAATGGTAGGGAAAAATATTTACTTTGAGAGGAGATGGAATTAGTTCAGGTGCTTTTGTATAAAGGAAAAGATCCATTTTTGGGATGACTTAAAGTACCTAGAGGGCCACCCAAAGTCTCCCTGTTAATTTCAGGGTACTTACATGGGCATCTACTTAAAATGTTTATATATTTATGCTTTGCATGATTATTCTCCACTCTTTCTTCCAAGTTCCAACTCATCCACGTAGCATTTTTCATAAAAGATGAAAGTGTAAGAAAAAATCGCAAGTTTCTATTACGGTATTAATGTGTATTACCATTCCTCGTCTAGCACATAGCAGTGAAGAGTATGGGGTTTGATAGACGATAATGGGCATATCAAGTTCATGGTAATTGCTGGGGAAGACTTGTCACCTATTCTATTCTCCACAGTCAACTTAGGTGTCATTTGGACAACTTGTCACCTATTCTCCTCCGATAACCGAAGAAACTGAGCTTCAAGAACGAATTGTTTTCTTCCCAAATTACAAAAGAAAAAATTGAAGAAATGCCAAGAGGGGAAGCTAAAGAGGAAGAAAGGAAGATAAGCACATCTGATTTTACAATGAGACTAGATCGATATATACTTCTCATAAACAAGTGAAGCTCATCATCCGTAATGTCCCCCTTAAAATGAGCGATAACAAGATCATTCATTGCTCTGGTTCCTCTCCTAAATAGAGATTCAATTCCTTGTAGAGCAGCCAAAGAATCCCAAACCCCACCTTTTGCTGTTGCTCTTGGCCTCATCTCTCTCTCCCCCTCTCTATCTCTTGTTCATTCGCTGTCTTCTATCTTTTATGAGTTGTGCGAGAGTGACAGAAATGTCTTGTGCTCTGCTTTATTTTTACCATAAAAGAGTAAAAATGGTAGTTTTATTGAAGAGCTTTCACAAGGAGAGATGAAACAAATTTGAGAAAGTAGTAAGGTTATTGTAAAATAGTTTACAAAAGGTAGAATGGGTATTGGAAAAATTGGTGCATCAATAATGTTTTCCATTTGGGTTAGTGACGGAAAGGAGGTATTTACCGAGTTTTTTAGAAGTTCAGGGGAGGTGTTTGTTAAATTAAAACTAAAAGGGAGGTTTTTATGATTGTCAGAAACTTAACAGAGGTTTTTGTATTTTATCCTTTTTTATTTGGCAACGCCTACTCTCGAGAGCCAAAATCCGGGAAGCTAAAGTCCACTAAGGGCCAAAATCCTGATAGGCTTTGGGCCAATTGAGGGGTGGCTCAGTTGGTGTGTTAGTTGGATTGTTCCAACATGGACACGGATTTGATTCCCACAACCACCGACTTTGGGGGAAGGGGGGGGGGGGGGGGGGGGGGGGAGAGGGTTACTAGCGTCATCAAGTCTTCTCATTGTCAATTGAAAAAACCTAATGGTAAACTCTCCAAAACTTTAAACCTTAGCCACTCTCCTTTCCTCCTTGCTTCTCCATTTTTTTCTCATCGAATGGTAAACCCTAATCTTTTTTTTTTCTTTTCGTTTTCTTCTTCTTTTGAGTCTGCAATGCCCGAAATCTAGCCCCTTTATTTTAAGGGAAAATTCTCAATTAGTATCCTGTACTTTGAGCCTAGTGACACTTTGGTCCCCGAACTTTAAAATGTGACAATTCAATATCCAAAGTTTCATAATGTGCCAATCTGGTACATGCCGTTAACCAATCTGTTAACCAGCCATTAAGTGGCATTTGAAAAGACATAAATGCCCTTCAAGTGTCATCTAATTTTCTTTATCAATCATTCAAACATTGATAAAAAATGAAAGTCCCAAGTCTTTGCCTCTTCTATTCAAGAAAGTTGGGTTCACCAGAATGCCCATTGAGACGTGATCCCAACTTTCTTGAATAGAAGAGGCAAGGATTTGGGACTGTTCATTTTTTATCAATGTTTGGATGGTTGATAAAGAGAATTAGATGACACTTGAAAGGCATAAGTGTCTTTTAAAATGTTACTTAACAGCTGGTTAACGGATTAATTAACAACAAGTACTAGATTGACACATTATGAAAGTTCAGGTACTAAATTATCGTATTTTAAAGTTCAGGGACCAAAGTGTCACTAGGCCCAAAGTACAGGGTACTAATCAGGAATTTTTCCTAGGTTTAACGTTGTTGTTCTTCTTCTTGAAATCTGATGAATGGACAACTCTCAGATATGCCATCCTAAACTTCCCTTTCCTCCATTTGATCCCATGTAACGTTGTATATGTCTTAAACGCTAATAGTTGTATGTAATGCATGTTTGAACCCCATTCTAACAGCTATACATTTGAATCTTTTTTGATTAAATACTACTTGAACTCCACTGTTTCTCTTCTTGAACCTCATTCCGATGTGTCAACTTGTTTACATTATAAACCCCTATTTTCCCCAATGAAACACTAGTTGAATGCATTATTTTAATTCCTATTTTTTCCCTTGTTAAACACCACCTGAATGCATCATATTAGCTCCATTTTCTTCTAGTTGTTCACTACCTAAATGCATCATGCTTTTCATGTTATTTGTAGGCCAAATGTTGATTGAACAAGTTCAATGTTGACTGTTTTTATGATAATTAGTAGGGTTTAACATGCAGATATATTATGATTTTATTATGCTCAATAGCTTGGTGACACATCTATATACTATATATAAAAGTGTGAATGCAATGTGAAATTTTTTTTGGACTAAAATTACCCTTTACTTCTTTGAAAGGGTATAAAAACCATTTTATTACATCTTTAATATCAGATTTAATGGCTACTAAAATGCCCATAATTGTGTATTTAGTCTATCTCTAATGGTAAGATTGAAAATATAACTTCAATTATTACTTCTTACCTCATTTAATCCCCTCTCATTAAGACTTATACTTAAGTTATTAACTCTCATTTTCTCTTATTAAATTAGATATGTGTGAATATTTTTAACAGTATAAACCCATATATTTTGAAACTCACTCAAAGACAAAATCAAAATGATCAACCTACGAAGTCATAGTTAGGTAATAAATTTTTTAAAATATAAATAAATATAGAAACTTACAAAAAATGTAGAAAAAATTAGACACATTTATGATATTTTTATAATCAAATTAAAAAAATAAGTGTAATAAACAAGAATTATTTTTATTGGTAATGAAAATGAAATACATAATTTAGAACTGATAAAAAATGAAATTATTTTACTGTTAACCTTTAATTTATAACTATCAATAGTTCAAATTTTGGGTCAAACATGTTAACCTTTAATGTCATAAATAAATAATAAAAGTTAATAAAATATAAAAATACATAAATTCTGCAAAAAAAAAACATTTAGGTACATGTGTAATATCATATATTTATCATGTTAAACAAAAAGTAAGTGCGACATATTAAAATTATTTTTACACACAAAAATACAAAAAAGTTGTAGAAAAAATTGCACACATCTATAATTCTATATTTACAATACTATTAAAAATATGAATAAGATTGTGAAACTTTCTTTTAACTAAAATATTCATTTTTGAATTTACTCCCTATTTAATTATGGGGTTTAAATTGTAAATTGAACTACTACTTTTCACTACATTCAATTCCCTCTATTTAAATATTACATTTTTTGATAAATGAACAAAAAAAAAAAAGATACACAAAAAAGATTAAATATTACAAGAAGAAGAATCTAGCCAAGCAAGTAGGCCTATCAATCAAGGGCGGAGGTTGGATCAAAACCTTTTATTAAAACTATTACTTATATGTAGTCACTAAGTGGAGGTTGGATCAAAACCTAATAAATTGGGTTTTTGGCCCCCCTCCAAACATTAACTAAAATGTAAAGGATTACTCTTTAACACTCCTCCAACTCTCAAAATATAAAATATTCTTTAAAAAAAATTGTAATAGACCCAAACCTTCTCAGGCCGTTTTTCCCAACACCCTACTTCTTCTCCCTATCTCATTTTATTGTTTTAACACTTTAATTTGGCCCTCCCCCAAAAGAAAATGCCTGGTTCTGTCATTGCTATTAATGATACTTGAAACTTCACAACTCGATCCGATTATCACATATTTGGATGAGGTGTTTATGTAATCATATTTGGATTTTTCAACCCGCACCCAATTAATAATAAAAAAATAAAAAATTTATAGAAAAATTTGGTTACATTATTACTATCATTATCATCATCTAAAGTTACCACGTACACACTTACTTGTGTCTATAAAAGTCCAAAAGCAAATTGCCATTTCGTGCTTTTACTTGGAAAAACATGTTTTGGAAACAATGTTTACCAAGTGGGTTTTGTAGCCAAAGTTGGCTATGAAAAGTTCAAAAGTTAAAGCTTATCCAAATAGCTCCTAATTCTCCTCATGTTGCATTGCTCCCTATCTCCTTAAAAAATAAAAATCGAATATTCATTGGCAATCAGTTTCCTTTTTAATAAAAAAATCATGGTTTTGAAAATCAGATCGGTTGACCTGGAAACCATCCAGGCAACCAGTTCTGTTTCACCCTAAAACTGTTCCTGGAAGAAAAATCATTAACTTGGTCAGCAACCTGCTGACCCGAGCGGTCGAACCACCGATCCAGACAATGATTTTTGGCCTTTTTATTTTAATTATTATTTTTATTTTTTAAATCAGAATGGGTTGTCTGTTTGAACTGGACAATTGAACCGTTTGACTTGGGAACTGGTGGCCAGAACAGTTCTGTGTCTAGTCCAGTTTTTAAAACATTATAAAAAACTGAACATAGGGTATGTTTGGTTTGTGGGAATAGAGGTCTAGAATTGGAATCGAAATACAACTATTTGGTTTGACAGAATCAAAATCTTATTCCCATTCATT